AAACAACAATTAATCCAGAAATCACCATTACTACCTCCTTTCCAAATTTCTCTTTTACCATCTCACCATCAAAAATCACAAACACCACAAACATTCCACCATCACCAACTCCTTCTGATCCAAATAACAACAACATTCTTAATAAAATCCATGACTCGGGTGACACAATTTCTAATGAAACTAGTTTTGAAAAGGAAAACATTTCCCAATCATATGATCTTCCTCCTCCGAACCTAAACTTGGAAGAATTAATTTCAAACTTCAAGGAATATACAATTAGGAGAATCAACGAGCTCAGAGAGGAATCTAATTCATGCACTGATTCTTCTCGCTTGAACTCCATCTCGGATCAATTTAAAGAATGGATGGCTGATGAGTTTCTCACAATCAGAAATCTTGTTGGACAGTTACAAGAATTTTTTTTCAAAGAATCAGAAGAGAGATATTTGGATTTAGAAGCTAAGATAAAGGCAAAAGAGGAAGCTGCTAAGAAAAGATCCGTAGAAGCTAAGAAAAAGGCTGAAGAAAAAGCTTCCAGAAAAGCAGCTATTGAGAAAACTATTACAGATAGCTCCATGGATCCAGAAACTTCCATTGTTCTACAAACTCTAGAAGAACTGAAAAAGGAAAAAGTGTGAGCCAATGAAAAATTTGATAAATGGGAAGCCTTTAACACGAGCATTTCCGGTTTGCTCAATCAAATTCTTCAAAAACTTCCATCTTCTTCCAACCTATAGGCACTTTTAGGAAACCCTTGTTTTGTTATTTTCTATCTTACCTTGTTTTTCTCCTGTACTCTCTATCTTCTAAATCAATGAAACATTCTTTTTTATTATGACAAAAAGGGGGATAAATCATAATGATAATTTTGATGCATACCTAGTTCTCTAAATTTCATTGCTTACATTTCTAACACACACACACACACACACACACACACACACACACACACACAGATATATATATATATATATATATATATATATATATATATATATATATATATATATATATATATATATATATATATATATATATATATATATATATATATATATATATATATATATATATATATATATATATATATATATATATATATATATATATATATATATATATATATATATATATATATATATATATATATATATATATATATATATATATATATATATATATATATATATATATATATATATATATATATATATATATATATATATATATATATATATATGCAAGAGTTTTTATAATGTGTTTTCAGGTACATCAGAAAAAAGATAAATGAATTGATAACATATAAAGCCTAAAAGGTTCTAACAAATCAAGTTGTGGTGAAAAACTTCTAATGTTTGGAAGAGTCTGTTGATCAAAATCTGATAAAATAAATTCTAGGGTATAGAATATTTTGAGAGATCGAGTGTTGAAAATGAACTTTAAACACTAAGACGGGACCGATAGATCAAGCTATGATAATGAACCTATCTGATGATTAGATGGTTCTAATAAAGAAAGAAATTCAGATAAATTAACTCTGATAAATCAATTCCATTTGCTTCAATCCTTATTATGGAAAAAGATAACCAAGCTCAGAAAACTCTACTTTATGATAAGGTCTTAAGTTTTAGATTCAGGAGAGTTTTCTAAACAATGCTCATATATTTCTTCCTTCTAAAACTGTAAGTCTTAGATTCAGAGGGAGATCATGCTAATCAGGAGAAGTTTTCTTCTAAATGTTGATTAGATTATGATATTACCTTGTAAAATTGTTACATAAAAATATATGGTTTTTTCATCATCAAAAAGCGGGATATTGTTAGAATAATATTTGGATTCTACAATTAATCTCTGAATTTTGATGATAACAATACATGTATTTTATATGTAAACAATTTTGTTTCTAATAGTTTCTTGAGTGTACAGTTTAGAAAGTTCTAATTGATTCTGGAATGTTGTCTAAAGAATCATCATAAATACACCAAGCACGCGTCAGAAAGACTATAGCATCCGCTTCTGAAGTAACATGAGTAGTTCCAAAGAATGTTGAATGTTCGCCAGAAAAAGGATCTCAACATGTACTTTTCAATAAGCTGCTACTTCATAAGTCACAAGTATTCAAGAAGAAAGAATGTCAGTTAGATTTGCTGCTCCAAGATCAGAAAATAAGATTGTAAATGAAACAAGCTTTCACGTCAAAGATCTGAGGTCAAGATTTGTTTGTCAGAGGAGTTGTTGCTTTTAACTCTGAAGACAAAGTCAAGGTTCTGAGCACATCAAAGGAAAGATTCTATTATCGAATCATAAGTTAAGATTTGTTCATCAAAAAAGTTGGTGCTTCTAAATCTGAAGACAAAGTCAAGATTCTGAAGACTTAATTACTTCGTGGAATATGCGTGCATTACTTTACATCAGAAGTATTCCATAAGAAGACATATCAAGGAAAGTTAGATCTTCTGGACTTATCATTTCTCTACATCATAAAGTCCATTAGAAGACATATCAAAGGAAAGTTATATCTTCTAGACTCATTACTATTCTACATCATATAGTCCATCAGAAGACAAGATCAAAAGATGGTATCTTCTCAAGCAAACCTACTTCATCAAAAGTAATATTCATCAAAAGACAATATCATAAAAAATGTGCGCTAGAAGAGTTAGTACAAAGGTACAATTACACGTTCCACTCAAATGGATGTACAATGTACTATTTGTCCCCGACGAACGTTTTCTTATCGTTGGCAGCTGGCAAGAGGATAGTGACTCGTGTACTACTACAATAGTCTACTTCCTCAACTCCTATATAAAGGATCAACTGTTTAATTTGAAAATTGCAAGAATTGAAAACAACAATAGTAACACTTCCAAAATCAAAGCAAGAAAAGAAAAGAATCAAAACACAAGACTTATTGCTCATTATTATGTTGATATTACTATTTGCTAGAACACAAGAGTTATTGCTAATTATTGTGTTATTATTGTAAATTGTTTGAACTAGAGTGTTGTTGCTCATATTTGTGTTAAACAATCTCTACTTAAACATTTGTGTAATCCTCTTGTTAGAAGCAACTTGTAAACACATTGTTCAACGGTAAGTTGATTAAGTCCTTTTATAAGTCATAGAGAAATCTCCTTCAAGGGACCGAGTAGGTCAGAAGCCTTAGGGAGTCAGTGATCATTATATCTCTTAAGGGACCGGGCAGGTCAAAATTCTTAAGGGATCATTAACAGGTTATCATTGTTGTTAGTCACCGACGGTGTCATACCCCAATTTTTGACCTAAGATCCCATTTTTATTTTTATTTTTTTTATACAGAAGTCAAGGTCACGAAATACAGTCAGTTTTAACCTCTCACCTTCGAGCATTGACTATGCAGAAATTGACAAGTATTTTGAACATTTTTAGCCTATGTTTCACTAACTTCTAATCAAGCACGAAGTGTGTGTTTTTCGTTTCTTTGATTTCATTTGCAGGAAACAGATCTGAATCAAGAGCATCAGGCGTCATGCCTCGATTAGGGTTCAAAATCTCTCATGCCAGAAGTACAGTTGATTGTTGAATCTTGAAGACTGATTCATCAGGGGAATCGTGTATTTATTTCCATGCTCTGTTCAACAAGTGGTCTCAAGGTTCTCCAAATATCCTCCAAGAACAGTCAATGTTTCATTATCACCGGTTCACATGTGTTTCACCAAGCTTTGAAATGAAAGGAAAGATCAAGTTTGCAAGTTGATTCAAAGCATTTAGACCAAAAGTTAACTCTTGCAAGTTCAAGTTCAAACAGTCACGACTTCTTCAATTTTTCAACATCCTGAGACGATTCTTTTGCGAAGTATCACAAATAGCGTTGTCTATGAGATTACTTCAAAGATCGAGGTTCAATTTTTGCCACAACGCTTTCTCAAAAGACGTTTGATTCTTATGTTGGGATAATTCATGAAACTAGAGTTCTAGTTCAATGATTCAGTAATTGCTTGTCGCTTGCCTCAAGTCATTTGCAATTGAACATTAGCGATCATTGGATTAAGGTGTATTATTGGTTAAACCTCTTAGAGGCGCAATTTGTATTATTGGCTCCTATGGAAAGTTACCATGAATTGATGATATGGTTTTGTAAAGAAGAAAATTTGAGGAACAATTCGAATAACTCCTTTTTTGATTTCAAATCGATTCAAGTGTGAGAAGCGCAATTCATTCATATGAATTTGCTTTTGAATTCAAGATATACAAAAGAACTAATTTCTCATGATGCAAGTTTGCTCAATTTTGAAGATTAAGTCTTTGTAATTTGTTTGGAATTTGAGGAGCAAATACAAGATACTCATTCATCTACCATTCAAATCTCTTTCAAAGTGTAGATTGAGAACCCAAACACATTTTTTTACATAATTTACACTACTAGGATTATTCAAGACTTGTTTGGACTTAAGTTCCAAGATACATCACCATCATTTTTGTGTTACAAGAGGAATTCCTAATTTCTTATGTCACAAATTTCAAGTACATCATGAGAATTCAAATCATATGCCAAAATCCTAAATTTTTACATCTTGTCTTCAAGAGTGCTAACCCAAATCCATGCTTCTCTCCATCTTGTCTCCTATTTCTGAATCTGTTCAAAAATAATGTTATCATACTCCATCTTGCACCAAAAAAATAGCCTTGTTGTTGCTACCAGATATAAACAAAAACAATCATGCTGCTATCCAAACACAGGCCTGCTTCATCTGCAAAAAAACCAAAACATGTAAAGAAAAAACAGCCCTGCTATCAAAACAGTCTGTTATGCTAACAAAAACCTGCTATCTTGCTGCCCATAAAACCCTGCTTTACCAATCCAAATGCTACACTCTAAAAAAAAACTGCTAAGCCTGTCATAACAATTCACACCAGTCCAAAAAACCTGTTATTACTGCCATGCTCAAAGCTGTCCAATAAGCCACATGATTACAAAATAAGTCCAATCTCAAAAGGAAAAGAGAGAGAAAATACATGTAATGAAACCAGAAAGTACAAGAGGAAAATTACATCCCATTAACCTACTGTTGCTGCTCTGTTTTCCTATGCATACTGTCCATAAACAAGTCAAAGCTCTGCATAAACTAACTCCACCATACTGCTGCCCCAAACCAGAAATAACCCTGCATATTAGTCCAAACAGGTCAGTCCAAAAACCCGCATACATCATGTTGTATTGTCGATATCTTTGCTGTCCCAAACTTGCCCAAAAGGTCATATACAAAAACCTACATGAGAAAGGCATAAAACAGTTAGCCGTATCTGTTGAAACCCATCCAATTTTCCCCCCAATTTTCATCAGTATTCCCCTATAAATTTAAGCTCCCATCAACACAAAAAAAGGAGGAGGCAAGAGGAGATATCACATAAGAGAAATACATAAAAAAAACCTTGAAATCTTTGTTCAACAAGCACAGAAAATCACTAACAAAAAAATATGTTTCAGCCTTCTTCCATCTCAATCCAAATTCTTTGTGCCATTAAACAAAATACCCTTCAAAGTACCTGTAGAAGATCGATTTGGAACAAACAACAACAAAACCATAACCTTCATACCATACAGTCTTTCTGCTCTGGATCTGACGTTGTGACATATAGACAACTCCCTCCGTTCAAACCCATCAACAACTGTCGAAAACGCCGGTGAAATAACCCTCATTCACAGCCGCCGTATCGAACATCACCGTACGAAGCTTCCAATCACCGTGATCTTCGACCAACTGTCCTTGCATCCTAACTGCCGCGTCGAAGCAGCTCTGCTCTCAATCTGCATGCCAACACAACCGCTGTGGTGCTCTAGCCTCTGTGTGCCCCACCAAACTTCCGTCGTAGGTAAACATTATTTTGTTATTCTCTAAATTTCGATGTTTGATTCTGAAAGTAGAGGGTCGATCGAGAAAGAAAGAGAGAGAAAGAGTATTGAAAAGAAGAGTGGCGTGTTATTCTGAACTTTGAGAAACAAGGGACTTATGAGAGAGAATTGGAGATCTATTGTTAGTTTCTACCTTTTTTTTTCTTTCGTTAAATTATTATTGGTTTCTACTGTTATTTAATAATGTTATGCCATATGATATATGCTTATTATTAGAAGTTAGAACTTGGAAGAGTCAAACATAACAAATTTATTGAAAAGAAACTATCCATGATGCAGCGTCCCTTTAACCTTGTTTCTTCTAATTTATATATATTTTTATTTTAATAATTCAGTTTGTTTCATGTGTAAATTAGATTAAGGTTTATTTGATTTAGGGTCTCTTGAACTTAGTATTCTAACTTGACACCTCTTCATGCCAATTAGAACTCCATAGTTTAGTTAGATTAGATTTTACAGTTTATTCATTTTTATTTGGTTTTTAGTTAATCTAACTAAATTATTTTAGTTATTAGGTTGTTTAATTCTTGCTTAAAAAATATCGAACAATAAAATATAAAAAATACATGCTTTTATAAATTAATTTTTTTATTTAATTTTTGTTACTTATTTAATTATTCAAAAATACATGTTAGTGTAAATTATTCTTCTATTTAATTTTTGTTATTTAATTGTTTAATTGTCATTCTAATTAACTTTATTCTCGATCATTTAATCTTCGTATCTTTCGCCCGTCTAAACTCCAAGGGAAAGAATTAAATTTGTTGACTTCACGTCATCAATCTCATCCAATCGTGCGAATACCCTCATTCTTTTTTTGTTGTTTGTTTACTATTTGGCTAAACTTAAGATAATTTTCCCAAAAGACTCCATTTTCAAACTCACACCTTTTAAGTCCAAACTTCGACACTAGGTCGTCGTATCTCCAAAATCTCGTCCATACCCATTCTTTTTAGCCAAACAAACCATTTTAATCAAACAAATAATTTTAATCGAAAAAACAAATATTTCAAAAGGTTCCTGCGGAGTACCGCAGATGCATTGGGTGCTAATACCTTCCCATTGCATAACCAACCCCTGAACTTTAGATCTCTTTCAAAAAACGCATCGTATTTTCATTACTTTTAAGTATTATTTTACATTGCATATTTTAGGGTTTTATTTTGCTCTTTTCCCTTTTCCCTTGGAAATAATAAAGCGTGGTGGCGACTCTTGCTTATTTGCGAGTCAAGTTAATTAATAGCTTGATCTCCGATTTTCACCGCTACAGAATTGGCGACTCGTCTGGGGACAGATTGACCTCTTGCTGGTCCATCCCTAAGTGGGTTAAGCCTAATTTGCAATATCTGTTTTTGTTATTATTACTTGTTTGTTTGATTATATGTGATATATTGTGATTATTTGGGTGTTGATAATATTTACAAAGGATAAGTCCTATACCCGGACTAAGTTACACTGAGGAATAGGACGGGCGGTATAGTCATGTTAACTTTGAGGGAGTAATCCCGAAGAAGGAGACATGAAATCCCTCACTTAGTGGAAGCCCCTTTGAACGTAGTATTTGTTTACCGAGTAATCGGGAAGACATTATTGCTTTCAACCTGGGAGCCAGAGAAGCTGAGAACCGTAGAACCCTTAACCCATCTTGGCCTCTTAGGTGTAGTGCGGAGACTATAACGGAGTAATCCGAAAGTAGTTATCACGCGATGCTGCACTCAGACGAGTTTCTCTTGAGAATATTGCTAATTACCGAGTAATCGGGATGTTGGTAATATCCGAAGGAGGAATGTGGACTCTGGGAACTTTTAGAACCTTGTTTTACAGGTGTGGTTAAACCTTTAGTACATACCTTGAGGATGGTTTTTACCTTAGACTCCATGCTTGTGACGTTGAACCTTTCGACTTTGTTTGTGACCTTACTTATGGTTGTTTCCTAGACATGCCTTCATGCATCCATAAAACCCTTTTTCACTTGATTGTCAAGGAATTTGGAAGTCTTTCTTTGTAAACATCACAAATTTCGTCAAGCTCAATGGATCTTGGGTGTTGATGGGGTGAAAACCCTAATCCACCAAAATGGATGATTAATCTTGATGATAACTTGATCAACGCTTTGCTCCAATTTAAAATTCATCTTCTATCTTCATACTTAGATGGTTACAACTTAATATCTTTAGTTCCTTGAAAGTCAAATAAAAACTGTCTTTTGCATATCATGCATCATTCTACATTTTTTGTTTCACTTTCGAAGGTCTTTTTCCAAGTCTTATTTTTCCTTTGGTATCACCAGTACAACACTCGCGCTAAGAGAATAATGGAGAATATCAAGCAAGAGGTTTCTGAACTCCGTAGAGAGATGACTAATTTGAAAGCTAGTGTGGAGCACTTAACTGGTTTGGTCGAAATTTTGGTTTCCGCCCAAGTCAATCCTTCTAAGAAAGAAGAAGTGATGGAAAAGGTCTTCACTGAAACTCTGAAATCATTCTTTCATGAGAAGATGATAATGAATGCGCCTGTTGACTTTCCTGACACGGTGAATGTGGGAGTGCGTCTAGAAGAGGATGTCGAAAAGGGATGTTCATATGAAGATGGTAGCTCAGCTAATGGTGTGATGAAGTTTGATAATAACGTTTCCAAGAAGAGAACCAGAGGAAGAAATAATCATCGTCAGAATTATCATGTTTCTCCTATTTATCAACAGAATCAGCAAGTTCCTAATCAGAGGAAAACTCAATTTGATCCAATTCCAATCACCTATACAGAGTTGTTCCCTATCCTGATGCAGAGGAATTTGGTTCAGACCCGACCTCCACCGAAGGTTCCTGAGAAGATAAATTGGTACTACAAAGCTGATTTGACCTAAGATCCCATTTTTGACCTAAGATCCCATTTTTATTTTTTGTTTTTTTATACAGAAGTCAAGGTCACGAAATACAGTCAGTTTTAACCTCTCACCTGCGAGCATTGACTATGCAGAAATTGACAAGTATTTTGAACATTTTTAGCCTATGTATCACTAACTTCTAATCAAGTACGAAGTGTGTATTTTTCGTTTCTTTGATTTCATTTGCAGGAAACAGATCTGAATCAAGAGCATCAGGCGTCATGCCTCGATTAGGGTTCAGAATCTCTCAAGCCAGAAGTACAGTTGATTGTTGATTCTTGAAGACTGATTCATCAGGGGAATCGTGTATTTATTTCCATGCTCTGTTCAACAAGTGGTCTCAAGCTTCTCCAAATATCCTCCAAGAACAGTCAATGTTTCATTATCACCGGTTCACATGTGTTTCACCAAGCTTTGAAATGAAAGGAAAGATCAAGTTTGCAATTTGATTCAAAGCATTTAGACCAAAAGTTAACTCTTGCAAGGTCAAGTTCAAACAGTCACGACTTCTTCAATTTTTCAACATCCTGAGACGATTCTTTTGCGAAGTATCACAAATAGCGTTGTCTATGAGATTACTTCAAAGATCGAGGTTCAATTTTTGCCACAACGCTTTCTCAAAAGACGTTTGATTCTTATGTTGGGATAATTCATGAAACTAGAGTTCTAGTTCAATGATTCAGTAATTGCTTGTCGCTTGCCTCAAGTCATTTGCAATTGAACATTAGCGATCATTGGATTAAGGTGGATTATTGGTTAAACCTCTTAGAGGCGCAATTTGTATTATTGGCTCCTATGGAAAGTTACCATGAATTGATGATATGGTTTTGTAAAGAAGAAAATTTGAGGAACAATTCGAATAACTCCTTTTTTGATTTCAAATCGATTCAAGTGTGAGAAGCGCAATTCATTCATATGAATTTGCTTTTGAATTCAAGATATACAAAAGAACTAATTTCTCATGATGCAAGTTTGCTCAATTTTGAAGATTAAGTCTTTGTATTTTGTTTGGAATTTGAGGAGCAAATACAAGATACTCATTCATCTACCATTCAAATCTCTTTCAAAGTGTAGATTAAGAACCCAAACACATTTTTTTACATAATTTACACTACTAGGATTATTCAAGACTTGTTTGGACTTAAGTTCCAAGATACATCACCATCATTTTTGTGTTACAAGAGGAATTCCTAATTTCTTATGTCACAAATTTCAAGTACATCATGAGAATTCAAATCATATGCCAAAATCCTAAATTTTTACATCTTGTCTTCAAGAGTGCTAACCCAAATCCATGCTTCTCTCCATCTTGTCTCCTATTTCCGAATCTGTTCAAAAATAATGTTATCATACTCCATCTTGCACCAAAAAAATAGCCTTGTTGTTGCTACCAGATATAAACAAAAACAATCATGCTGCTATCCAAACACAGGCCTGCTTCATCTGCAAAAAAACCAAAACATGTAAAGAAAAAACAGCCCTGCTATCAAAACAGTCTGTTATGCTAACAAAAACCTGCTATCTTGCTGCCCATAAAACCCTGCTTTACCAATCCAAATGCTACACTCTAAAAAAAAACTGCTAAGCCTGTCATAACAGTTCACACCAGTCCAAAAAACCTGTTATTACTGCCATGCTCAAAGCTGTCCAATAAGCCACATGATTACAAAATAAGTCCAATCTCAAAAGGAAAAGAGAGAGAAAATACATGTAATGAAACCAGAAAGTACAAGAGGAAAATTACATCCCATTAACCTACTGTTGCTGCTCTGTTTTCCTATGCATACTGTCCATAAACAAGTCAAAGCTCTGCATAAACTAACTCCACCATACTGCTGCCCCAAACCAGAAATAACCCTGCATATTAGTCCAAACAGGTCAGTCCAAAAACCCGCATACATCATGTTGTATTGTCGATATCTTTGCTGTCCCAAACTTGCCCAAAAGGTCATATACAAAAACCTACATGAGAAAGGCATAAAACAGTTAGCCGTATCTGTTGAAACCCATCCAATTTTCCCCCCAATTTTCATCAGTATTCCCCTATAAATTTAAGCTCCCATCAACACAAAAAAAGGAGGAGGCAAGAGGAGATATCACATAAGAGAAATACATAAAAAAAACCTTGAAATCTTTGTTCAACAAGCACAGAAAATCACTAACAAAAAAATATGTTTCAGCCTTCTTCCATCTCAATCCAAATTCTTTGTGCCATTAAACAAAATACCCTTCAAAGTACCTGTAGAAGATCGATTTGGAACAAACAACAACAAAACCATAACCTTCATACCATACAGTCTTTCTGCTCTGGATCTGACGTTGTGACATATAGACAACTCCCTCCGTTCAAACCCATCAACAACTGTCGAAAACGCCGGTGAAATAACCCTCATTCACAGCCGCCGTATCGAACATCACCGTACGAAGCTTCCAATCACCGTGATCTTCGACCAACTGTCCTTGCATCCTAACTGCCGCGTCGAAGCAGCTCTGCTCTCAATCTGCATGCCAACACAACCGCTGTGGTGCTCTAGCCTCTGTGTGCCCCACCAAACTTCCGTCGTAGGTAAACATTATTTTGTTATTCTCTAAATTTCGATGTTTGATTCTGAAAGTAGAGGGTCGATCGAGAAAGAAAGAGAGAGAAAGAGTATTGAAAAGAAGAGTGGCGTGTTATTCTGAACTTTGAGAAACAAGGGACTTATGAGAGAGAATTGGAGATCTATTGTTAGTTTCTACCTTTTTTTTTCTTTCGTTAAATTATTATTGGTTTCTACTGTTATTTAATAATGTTATGCCATATGATATATGCTTATTATTAGAAGTTAGAACTTGGAAGAGTCAAACATAACAAATTTATTGAAAAGAAACTATCCATGATGCAGCGTCCCTTTAACCTTGTTTCTTCTAATTTATATATATTTTTATTTTAATAATTCAGTTTGTTTCATGTGTAAATTAGATTAAGGTTTATTTGATTTAGGGTCTCTTGAACTTAGTATTCTAACTTGACACCTCTTCATGCCAATTAGCACTCCATAGTTTAGTTAGATTAGATTTTACAGTTTATTCATTTTTATTTGGTTTTTAGTTAATCTAACTAAATTATTTTAGTTATTAGGTTGTTTAATTCTTGCTTAAAAAATATCGAACAATAAAATATAAAAAATACATGCTTTTATAAATTAATTTTTTTATTTAATTTTTGTTACTTATTTAATTATTCAAAAATACATGTTAGTGTAAATTATTCTTCTATTTAATTTTTGTTATTTAATTGTTTAATTGTCATTCTAATTAACTTTATTCTCGATCATTTAATCTTCGTATCTTTCGCCCGTCTAAACTCCAAGGGAAAGAATTAAATTTGTTGACTTCACGTCATCAATCTCATCCAATCGTGCAAATACCCTCATTCTTTTTTTGTTGTTTGTTTACTATTTGGCTAAACTTAAGATAATTTTCCCAAAAGACTCCATTTTCAAACTCACACCTTTTAAGTCCAAACTTCGACACTAGGTCGTCGTATCTCCAAAATCTCGTCCATACCCATTCTTTTTAGCCAAACAAACCATTTTAATCAAACAAATAATTTTAATCGAAAAAACAAATATTTCAAAAGGTTCCTGCGGAGTACCGCAGATGCATTGGGTGCTAATACCTTCCCATTGCATAACCAACCCCTGAACTTTAGATCTCTTTCAAAAAACGCATCGTATTTTCATTACTTTTAAGTATTATTTTACATTGCATATTTTAGGGTTTTATTTTGCTCTTTTCCCTTTTCCCTTGGAAATAATAAAGCGTGGTGGCGACTCTTGCTTATTTGCGAGTCAAGTTAATTAATAGCTTGATCTCCGATTTTCACCGCTACAGAATTGGCGACTCGTCTGGGGACAGATTGACCTCTTGCTGGTCCATCCCTAAGTGGGTTAAGCCTAATTTGCAATATCTGTTTTTGTTATTATTACTTGTTTGTTTGATTATATGTGATATATTGTGATTATTTGGGTGTTGATAATATTTACAAAGGATAAGTCCTATACCCGGACTAAGTTACACTGAGGAATAGGACGGGCGGTATAGTCATGTTAACTTTGAGGGAGTAATCCCGAAGAAGGAGACATGAAATCCCTCACTTAGTGGAAGCCCCTTTGAACGTAGTATTTGTTTACCGAGTAATCGGGAAGACATTATTGCTTTCAACCTGGGAGCCAGAGAAGCTGAGAACCGTAGAACCCTTAACCCATCTTGGCCTCTTAGGTGTAGTGCGGAGACTATAACGGAGTAATTCGAAAGTAGTTATCACGCGATGCTGCACTCAGACGAGTTTCTCTTGAGAATATTGCTAATTACCGAGTAATCGGGATGTTGGTAATATCCGAAGGAGGAATGTGGACTCTGGGAACTTTTAGAACCTTGTTTTACAGGTGTGGTTAAACCTTTAGTACATACCTTGAGGATGGTTTTTACCTTAGACTCCATGCTTGTGACGTTGAACCTTTCGACTTTGTTTGTGACCTTACTTATGGTTGTTTCCTAGCCATGCCTTCATGCATCCATAAAACCCTTTTTCACTTGATTGTCAAGGAATTTGGAAGTCTTTCTTTGTAAACATCACAAATTTCGTCAAGCTCAATGGATCTTGGGTGTTGATGGGGTGAAAACCCTAATCCACCAAAATGGATGATTGATCTTGATGATAACTTGATCAACGCTTTGCTCCAATTTAAAATTCATCTTCTATCTTCATACTTAGATGGTTACAACTTAATATCTTTAGTTCCTTGAAAGTCAAATAAAAACTGTCTTTTGCATATCATGCATCATTCTACATTTTTTGTTTCACTTTCAAAGGTCTTTTTCCAAGTCTTATTTTTCCTTTGGTATCACCAGTACAACACTCGCGCTAAGAGAATAATGGAGAATATCAAGCAAGAGGTTTCTGAACTCCGTAGAGAGATGACTAATTTGAAAGCTAGTGTGGAGCACTTAACTGGTTTGGTCGAAATTTTGGTTTCCGCCCAAGTCAATCCTTCTAAGAAAGAAGAAGTGATGGAAAAGGTCTTCACTGAAACTCTGAAATCATTCTTTCATGAGAAGATGATAATGAATGCGCCTGTTGACTTTCCTGACATGGTGAATGTGGGAGTGCGTCTAGAAGAGGATGTCGAAAAGGGATGTTCATATGAAGATGGTAGCTCAGCTAATGGTGTGATGAAGTTTGATAATAACGTTTCCAAGAAGAGAACCAGAGGAAGAAATAATCATCGTCAGAATTATCATGTTTCTCCTATTTATCAACAGAATCAGCAAGTTCCTAATCAGAGGAAAACTCAATTTGATCCAATTCTAATCACCTATACAGAGTTGTTCCCTATCCTGATGCAGAGGAATTTGGTTCAGACCCGACCTCCACCGAAGGTTCCTGAGAAGATAAATTGGTACTACAAAGCTGATTTGACCTAAGATCCCATTTTTGACCTAAGATCCCATTTTTATTTTTTGTTTTTTTATACAGAAGTCAAGGTCACGAAATACAGTCAGTTTTAACCTCTCATCTGCGAGCATTGACTATGCAGAAATTGACAAGTATTTTGAACATTTTTAGCCTATGTATCACTAACTTCTAATCAAGTACGAAGTGTGTATTTTTCGTTTCTTTGATTTCATTTGCAGGAAACAGATCTGAATCAAGAGCATCAGGCGTCATGCCTCGATTAGGGTTCAGAATCTCTCAAGCCAGAAGTACAGTTGATTGTTGATTCTTGAAGACTGATTCATCAGGGGAATCGTGTATTTATTTCCATGCTCTGTTCAACAAGTGGTCTCAAGCTTCTCCAAATATCCTCCAAGAACAGTCAATGTTTCATTATCACCGGTTCACATGTGTTTCACCAAGCTTTGAAATGAAAGGAAAGATCAAGTTTGCAATTTGATTCAAAGCATTTAGACCAAAAGTTAACTCTTGCAAGGTCAAGTTCAAACAGTCACGACTTCTTCAATTTTTCAACATCCTGAGACGATTCTTTTGCGAAGTATCACAAATAGCGTTGTCTATGAGATTACTTCAAAGATCGAGGTTCAATTTTTGCCACAACGCTTTCTCAAAAGACGTTTGATTCTTATGTTGGGATAATTCATGAAACTAGAGTTCTAGTTCAATGATTCAGTAATTGCTTGTCGCTTGCCTCAAGTCATTTGCAATTGAACATTAGCGATCATTGGATTAAGGTGGATTATTGGTTAAACCTCTTAGAGGCGCAATTTGTATTATTGGCTCCTATGGAAAGTTACCATGAATTGATGATATGGTTTTGTAAAGAAGAAAATTTGAGGAACAATTTGAATAACTCCTTTTTTGATTTCAAATCGATTCAAGTGTGAGAAGCGCAATTCATTCATATGAATTTGCTTTTGAATTCAAGATATACAAAAGAACTAATTTCTCATGATGCAAGTTTGCTCAATTTTGAAGATTAAGTCTTTGTATTTTGTTTGGAATTTGAGGAGCAAATACAAGATACTCATTCATCTACCATTCAAATCTCTTTCAAAGTGTAGATTGAGAACCCAAACACATTTTTTTACATAATTTACACTACTAGGATTATTCAAGACTTGTTTGGACTTAAGTTCCAAGATACATCACCATCATTTTTGTGTTACAAGAGGAATTCCTAATTTCTTATGTCACAAATTTCAAGTACATCATGAGAATTCAAATCATATGCCAAAATCCTAAATTTTTACATCTTGTCTTCAAGAGTGCTAACCCAAATCCATGCTTCTCTCCATCTTGTCTCCTATTTCCGAATCTGTTCAAAAATAATGTTATCATACTCCATCTTGCACCAAAAAAATAGCCTTGTTGTTGCTACCAGATATGAACAAAAACAATCATGCTGCTATCTAAACACTGGCCTGCTTCATCTGCAAAAAAAAACAAAACATGTAAAGAAAAAACAGCCTTGCTATCAAAACAGTCTGTTTTGCTAACAAAAACCTGCTATCTTGCTGCCCATAAAACCCTGCTTTACCAATCCAAATGCTACACTCTAAAAAAAACTGCTAAGCCTGACATAACAGTTCACACCAGTCCAAAAAACCTGTTATTACTGCCATGCTCAAAGCTGTCCAATAAGCCACATGAATACAAAATAAGTCCAATCTCAAAAGGAAAAGAGAGAGAAAATACATGTAATGAAACCAGAAATTACAAGAGGAAAATTACATCCCATTAACCTACTGTTGCTGCTCTGTTCTCCTATGCATACTGTCCATAAACAAGTCAAAGCTTTGCATAAACTAACTCCACCATACTGCTGCCCCAAACCAGAAATAACCCTGCATATTAGTCCAAACAGGTCAGTCCAAAAACCCGCATACATCATGTTGTATTGTCGATATCTTTGCTGTCCCAAACTTGCCCAAAAGGTCATATACAAAAACCTGCATGAGAAAGGCATAAAACAGTTAGCCGTATCTGTTGAAACCCATCCAATTTTCCCCCCAATTTTCATCAGTATTCCCCTATAAATTTAAGCTCCCATCAACACAAAAAAAGGAGGAGGCAAGAGGAGATATCACATAAGAGAAATACATAAAAAAACCTTGAAATCTTTGTTCAACAAGCACAGAAAATCACTAACAAAAAAATATGTTTCAGCCTTCTTCCATCTCAATCCAAAATCTTTGTGCCATTAAACAAATTACCCTTCAAAGTACCTGTAGAAGATCGATTTGGAACAAACAACAACAAAACCATAACCTTCATACCATACAGTCTTTCTGCTCTGGATCTGACGTTGTGAAATATAGACAACTCCCTTCGTTCAAACCCATCAAAAACTGTCGAAAATGCCGGTGAAATAACCCTCATTCATAGCCGCCGTACCGACCATCACCGTACGAAGCTTCCAATCACCGTGATCTTCAACCAACCGTCCTTGCATCCTAACTGCCGCGTCGAAGCAGCTCTGCTCTCAATCTGCATGCTAACACAACCATTGTGGTGCTCTAGCCTCTGTGTGCCCCACCAAACTTCTGTCGTAGGTAAACATTATTTTGTTATTCTCTAAATTTCGATGTTTGATTCTGAAAGTAGAGGGTCGATCGAGAAAGAAAGAGAGAGAAAGAGTATTGAAAAGAAGAGTGGCGTGTTATTCTGAACTTTGAGAAACAAGGGACTTATGAGAGAAAATTGGAGATCTATTGTTAGTTTCTACCTTTTTTTTTCTTTCGTTAAATTATTATTGGTTTCTACTGTTATTTAATAATGTTATGCCATATGATATATGCTTATTATTAGAAGTTAGAACTTGGAAGAGTCAAACATAACAAATTTATTGAAAAGAAACTATCCATGATGCAACGCCCCTTTAACCTTGTTTCTTCTAATTTATATATATTTTTATTTTAATAATTCAGTTTGTTTCATGTGTAAATTAGATTAAGGTTTATTTGATTTAGGGTCTCTTGAACTTAGTATTCTAACTTGACACCTCTTCATGCCAATTAGCACTCCATAGTTTAGTTAGATTAGATTTTAGAGTTTATTCATTTTTATTTGGTTTTTAGTTAATCTAACTAAATTATTTTAGTTATCAGGTTGTTTAATTCTTGCTTAAAAAAATATCGAACAATAAAATATAAAAAATACATGCTTTTATAAATTAATTTTTTTATTTAATTTTTGTTACTTATTTAATTATTCAAAAATACATGTTAGTGTAAATTATTCTTCTATTTAATTTTTGTTATTTAATTGTTTAATTGTCATTCTAATTAACTTTATTCTCGATCATTTAATCTTCGTATCTTTCGCCCGTCTAAACTCCAAGGGAAAGAATTAAATTTGTTGACTTCACGTCATCAATCTCATCCAATCGTGTGAATACCCTCATTCTTTTTTTTTGTTTGTTTACTATTTTTCTAAACTTAAGATAATTTTCCCAAAAGACTCCATTTTCAAACTCACACCTTTTAAGTCAAAACTTCGACACTAGGTCGTCGTATCTCTAAAATCTCGTCCATACCCATTCTTTTTAGCCAAACAAACCATTTTAATCAAACAAATAATTTTAATCGAAAAAAAAATATTTCAAAAGGTTCCTGCGGAGTACCACAGATGCATTGGGTGCTAATACCTTCCCATTGCATAACCAACCCCTGAACTTTAGATCTCTTTCAAAAAACGCATCGTATTTTCATTACTTTTAAGTATTATTTTACATTGCATATTTTAGGGTTTTATTTTGCTCTTTTCCCTTTTCCCTTGGAAATAATAAAGCGCGGTGGCGACTCTTGCTTATTTGCGAGTCAAGTTAATTAATAGCTTGATCTCCGATTTTCACCGCTATAGACGGGTAGCCCGTGCATTTGTTTATTAGCGGGTAGCCCGAGCAATTGTAATCAATTTGGTTATAGTCGATTAAGTCCTTTTCTAAGGAGAAATCACCTTGGGGTGAATAAAATTAACCTTTTCTAAGGTGAACTTGTATAAATGAAAAGTGTCATTATTTCCCTCTATAGCACTAATTCTAATTCTGATTGTTTGTATGAAGCACTTATAAACGAAAAAGTTTTTTGAAAACCCAATTCAAACCCCCATTTTCTTGTGTTTTTCTCAACCTTCATTGTTAATGAACAAAAAGAAAGTTTTTTTATTATTGCGTTCGCATGAATTTTGCAACTACGTATCTCGCGAAGGAATCAAAATACCGTGGTTCTTCTGAAAAATGTTTGTTTATTAATTTTTTTTATGAATGATCTTATGTTTGCATCCTATTGCACCTCGACCTTTGGAGACTCACGTATTGTATATAACATATTAACATGTTCTTTAATAAAAGTTAAAGAGAAAAGACCTAAGGAAAAAAGAAGTTTTAATTGGTTGAGTGTTTTGTTAGGAGAATACCTCAAATGGTCCTCCAGGGTCAGAGGTATCCGAGTACTTACCCTTTATTTACAAAAGTGTATGAGATACGTACAATACTAAATTTTATGACATGAGGAGATTTTTGAATGGTCGAGCCAGACGCCTCGTATCCAAAGTACTTCGCACGTGCTTAAGACTCGTGACGTATTTCCATGTATCACATTTATTAAGTATTTTTTAGTTTGATAAGGAAAAGGAGTTTTTTGTTTTAAGATGAAATGCAAAATAATGCAAAATCTAAGGGAAACTAAAGTCTTAATGTTGTCATGCAATGGTTGCCTTAAAATTGGGATAAAAGGAATTCTACCTGATTGTTATCATGCTTGGATTATAGAGCCTAAAGTATATTTAATTCAATTTGATCAAAGAATTAAAATTGAATTAAAAACCTAAGAGAAAATGGCATAAAACAACCAAACAAATAACAAAAATAAAAGAATAAAATTTGATTCTAATATTTTTTCATTTTTATCATGAGAAGTAAATGCAAACAATTCTAAACAATTGACAAAATCAATAAAAAAAGAAAATGCACTAAAAAGAGCTATGGGATGCAAGCAACGAGTAAGAGATATGATTCAACAAACTTTAAGCCCAAACCAGAAATAAGTGTTAGAACATAGTTTGGTTTTACATCTTAGTAATAGTTTTGATGATAACAAATACAATATATATATATATATATATATATATATATATATATATATATATATATATATATATATATATATATATATAAAGGAAAATTATGCTCTCTAATAAATTATTTAAATGTGCAGAGAAGTTATGATAAAGAAGCATAAAAGTTGGCGAACAATTTGCGCTAAGAAGATCTGATAAAGAAGCATAGAAGTTGGCAAACAATTTGTGCTAAGAAGATCTGATAAGAATATTTATACAAACTAAATTAAAGTATCAAGATCAATAGAAGAAGTTTTGATGTCATAACTTCTGAAGCACCAAAGCTGCAAGCTAAAATCTCATGAAGCAATACTCTGATGATCTGAAGTCTCATAACTTATAAAGCACAAAAGCTACAAGATAAAATCTGATGAAGCAATACTATGATGATCTAAAGTCTCAACGTTAATATTCTTATTCTGATCAGATTTCAAAGAAGCAAAATTCTGATGCGTTACATTTCATTCATTACAAATCAAGGAGTAACGGCTAGTACCAAACAAGATCTGTATTTTTGGAAAGTGCATTTACAACATTTTATCAACCTTTCAAAAACATCTTCTCATGTCTCAAATGGATCTAAAGAGCTTCGCCTATATAAAGGATTTCTTGAATGGTGATCAAAAAGACTTGAACGCATACAATAGAAATATTCATAAAGATCTTTCACCTATTATACTGTTCACTGTGCTTTAATATTGCATAAACATCACAGTTGTATATAGATTTTTAGAAGCATTTGTTAAAAACATTATTTATGTTAGAAAAGTTGTAATTCCTTGAGAAACCAAGTTATGGTTTAGTCTCAAGAAGACATTGGCGGTAGTCTTTGTGATTTGTAATCAAAGTTTTGATTAGTGGATTAAGACCTCGATTGAGAGAGGCGAAATCACCTTGGCGGGTAGACCGAAGTAGTTTGAGTTTAAATGAACCAGGATAACCAAACATGTCATATTGTTTTTAATTTCTGAAAACCCCAATTCAAACCCCCTTTCTTGTGTTTTTCTATCCTTCAATTGGTATCAGAGCGCCTGGTTCTGAGTGCTAACATTTAACCGTGCCAAAAAAAGATCCTAGCAAGAAAAACACTACGGTGGAACTAGTTCAGAATAACAACAATGATAACGATGATGATAAATACAAAATCAATGGCACACCCCAAAAGTTTAACGGTGAAAATTTTGATTACTGGAAAGACAGAATCAAAAGTTTCTTTCTAGCTCATGATGCTAATCTATGAGATATGGTGACTGATGGCTACATTCATCCTGGTGATGAAAATGGTCAGATGATTGATAGAAAGAAAATGACAGATCAATAAAAGAAAGAGTTCAGAAATCATCACAAGGCCATAACATTCCTTGAGTTCCATTTCAGACACCGAGTATGAGAAGATCACAAACATAGATTCTTCTAAAAGCATGTTTGACTCTCTGAGAATGACGCATGAAGGCAACACACAAGTCAAAGAGACCAAAGCTCTTTCACTCATCTAGAAGTATGAAGCTTTCAAGATAGAAGAAGAAGAAATTATCGAGACAATGCTCTCATGGTTTCAAATTTTGGTTGCTGGATTAGAAGTTTTGGACAAAGGGTACTCTATAACATATCACATAAAGAAAATTGTCAGAAGCTTACCCAAGAAGTTGAGACCTATGGTCACTGTCGTAACCAGCAAAAAATAACGAGTTGCCACCTTTAGTTTTTATCCTAAGACGGTAATATAATGGAATAATCATAATTGATGATACAAAGATTCTAAGTTCTTGACTTACATTAGACGAAGGAAAGGTGTTAGGCACCCTTCATCTACCTTGTTCACAAGGATACTAGGGTTTATGTTTAAGGTTTAGGAATAGGCTTTTAATTTTTTAGTTAGGGGATAGATTAGGAAGTTTTGTTATAATTGTCGTTACAATTAGATGATTTAGAGTTGATTGATTTTGTTAGAAATTATAATTAGATCTGATTAGAGATGTGTATGTAATTTAGAATTAGAGTTTATATCTTGTAATGCACTCGGACGCTATCATGTGTAAATCCATTGTAATCAAAAATAAAAATCGTTTTTCAATCCAAGATTTGATTCAATTTGATTTTTTCTCTGGATCTTGGGATTCCAAGCTTCTTAAGGAACAAGAACATGTTTATAGGCGCAACTTAGAACCAAGGCAACACACAAGTCAAAGAGACCAAAGCTTTTTCACTCATCTAGAAGTATGAAGCTTTCAAGATGGAAGAAGAAGAAACTATCGAGAGAGTGTTCACAAGGTTTCAAATTTTAGTTGCTGGATTAAAAGTTTTGGACAAAGGGTAATCTACAACATATAACAT